AATAACCAATTAAAGAAACAGATCAGTGGGCGACTGGAGAACACTATTCTTAGAGTTGCTGCAAAGAATGTTCTTCTCACAGATGATGTGATCCTTCTCTTGAGAATATCACTTGCTAAATTTCCCTTGAAATCCAAGTTCATGTAGAGTTTCTTTTTCGGAGAAAGTGAAGTTCATTTCTCCAAATTCTTGGTTTGATATTTTCATCAATGAATCTCGGTGGGTATCCATTTTGGACGAAGATTTCTCTCAAAAGATCTAATTCTGTTTCTAGAACATTGGGACTACAGATGCATCGGATGCGGGCGGCAGGGAATTTAATTTAATTCCGCTTTTGTTGAATGCGTACTCAGCTGTAGAAGCTTGTTAGTTGACCATTCCAAGTAGCTTTTCTATGGACCGATCTTCTTAAGGTCCCATCAGTTCTTCTTGTTAGCTCTACATCAAGAGAGGGAATTTTTGATTCGTTTTCCATTTCGAGAGTAAATTTTATTGCTGGATGGCGACAGTTGAATGTCTGCAGCAGTATATTGGGGTCATTGATGTTGTCACAAATAATGAATATGTTATCTAGTCATCTTTTATCACGGAAGTCTACCCAAAACTTATTAATTTTCACCTCTTTAGTTAAAATAACCATAACCAACTGTATTTTTGTTTGACAAAGTTGATGTACACATGCATACAAAATAACTCATATATATTTGTGATTGTACAGCTAAGAAAATGAATTCACCGCCAAAAAGAGACTCTTCGCTGAACTACGTGTTTTGTTTTCAATAATGCCTTGGTTGGGATTATTCAATTAAGTGATAACGAAGTGAAACAGCTTATTATAAAACACTCACTTCCACTGTCACAATGATATATAAAGCATAGTTAGGCATTAGAACATGTATCTATTAATATTTCGGGTTTGAAGACAACTCAAGTTGAATATATTTTATGTTAAGCTGCAAAATACTTACCAACTTATCATGTTACAATGAAATTTGATCACTAACTTTGATCCTTTTGTTAATTATTCTACACTGACTATCATTTCTTCTACTTAAGAATAACAAGCATAAGTTCTTGAATAATCTGTCTTTTGAAATCTCTCTTTATTCAATCAGTTATGACTTCTGAATAATTCTTATAATACATAAAAGTTCATTGGAGTTTACAGAATAATATTAACAAAAATTTAATACTGATAACTAAACTAAAAAAGAAGAAAAAGAATACAACGAACAAAACAAGAAAACATTTTTAATTTAAATTAACATACTCTACAATTGGTAGGACACTAAAGGACGTTATGAGTGACCTTTATGCTGATTGGTTGGTATAAAAATTACGATAATATACGAAAAATAAAACCAAGAGAATTTTATAAATCAGAATAAAACATTGAAAAAATAGATTGATCACACTTTTCTCCTGGAAACACAAAAATTAATTCTACCTGTTGGGTGAATATAATAACTAGTATTAGGTAAAATGTTTCGTGATCAACAGGTCATTTGTTAGACCTTTTGTCGACAGCAAACAGCTGGATACGCCCTGAAACTACCCTCATTAACTAACATGTTAATTGTAGTAGGCACATCAATATTCACAGAGAGATGATGCAACAACCGATGAAATTTCAAGTTTCATCATGAACTTTCTTCAGTCAAAAAGACATTGGAAACTTAATTGCACTAAACAGCCGTCTCATTCTAGTCTGGGACTCTTCATCAGTATACACGCATAATCCTACCCATCAAGGGTCGAACACAGACCCTTCAGGTTACGAGATGAGCTTGTTGGCCATTCAGCCACTGGCACGGAATCCAATGCCCCGTGAATTCCAATTTTTGCCAGTTTACGATATATAGCCCCACCGGCAGTAAATGCCATCGGAGAATGTCTAACAGCACACCCTGGTGACCAGTGATTCTCCAAATGAAGTCAGTCTAGGATCAGAGTGGAAATTAATCAAATCCTCGCAAACCAACACTTGGAAATTCATGAAATCTCTGACTGGTGATATACAAATAACTGATAACCATATAAGAAAACTAAGGTTATAATGGGATACACTGAATAGCATAACTCATAAATTTCCAATTATATACTCAATTAATCTATCTCTTTAATGATTTTCCTCCAACGGTTTCAGCCTCAGTGTTGTAGTACAGGTTCGTCCAAGTGTCTGAAATATTTAAACAATTTGTGAGCTATAAATCTATTTAAATATTAGTTATTTTTTTGTCATTTTGTTAACGATGGCTAAGAATTCAACTAGCAAATCTACCAACTATATTACATGCCGGTGTTTCTATATGATTCAGAAACTTTCTGCATATGTCACGAAAACCATTTCCAACAGGCTATTGCAAACTTGCATCAACAAATGTCTTCATTCCTTCGATACTGAAGATCAGATGGCCAGCTGGAAATTCAGATAAGCAACAGGAAACTCTGACAAGCATTGAACTAAACAAGAACTTATTACTCAACAAATATGAAAAAGAAATACAGATAGATTAAATATACACTGAGGACATTAGGTGACATCTACTAGGAAGCGATGAGTTGGGCGTGGTTCTGTGGGTGAAATAGAGGAGGTAATTTGAAAAGGAAATGTAAGTTGATGGCCAGTCATGGAGGCAGCTAAAAATGACAGCAGACAGCTGTATATAATGAAGATGTGTTGTTGAAGACCTCTGTTCAACTCTGAACAAAAGGAATGAATAAAAATAACAATTAATTTACATCGGTCTAGGCAAGTAGTATTTACGTTTTTCTGAGGAAAACAATTTAGTTACATAAACAACCGATTGTGTATCCCACCTAGGATTAGGGTTTTCCCACTATAGTATTGTGTGGAATTTCATGGACGCCAGATAACGAAGAAGTATAAATTCCAAGGGCATCATATTCGATCGATCAGTCGACAAAACAATCCCGTTTTTGAACACTATCGAAACTAAAAAATGCCTTTTAAGCTTAAAATCACTCCCAAAACAATGAAGCCATTGATTGTGGTCTAAACACAAGTGAAGTTGGAAGTTGAACGGAGTGTGAAATTATACGATTAGAAATAGTGTTTGCTGTTGAATTCAGAATATTTTATTTCCCGAAAATTCAGACACATCCCCCTTGTAAATTACAGACGATTCTTTATGTTTTCAGGTTAGATCGCGAACTGATATCAGTTAGAGAGATACTGAAAACCAGGAATCAACAGATAGCCATTTCGTCCCATATTGAAACTCTTCAGTAATGCACACTGATAACTCAACTACGAATTGAAGCCAAGAACTTCAGGTTACTACGACAGTATGTTTATCATTCACTTACTGGGACGGAATCCAAAAGCTTTGCGATACACAGCTCAAACACCAGCCAGTGTTATCTGTATGTGTTTTTCCTTACATTCGACTTGATATACCTCAGTAGTCTAAACATCCACTAGAACTCCATCCCATATTCCACCAAGTAGGGAATGAGGGTAAATACTTGTCGATAACACCGACTGGCCGGTAAAGCAGCAGTTAGAACTTATGGGTTGACCAGTGAATTCCATCTTAGTGGCTGAATGGTCAGAGTGATAACCTCGTAACCTGAAGGTTCTAAATTCGATTCCTGGCAGTGGAATCATGCATGCGTACTGATGAAGAGTCTCAAACCGGGACGGAGCAGTTATCCAGTACTCTTCGGTGATTTTTAATAATTATCTAGGAGATGCCACCTTATTATCTAACTTGAAATCAACAAAAATCCATGCAAACCAACACTTGAAAAAAAGCCTTCAGGCACTTCAACTGTAATCAATATTACTGGCCTATTATCCTGACTTTTGAATATGAATGTATATCATTCTACTCAATAAGGTATTATTTTCACTACAGTTCTACTTATTTCTTTCACTGATTATTATATTATAATAATAGTATTTGAAAAAGCGCATGCCTGTGGAATAAACGCAGAATATTTAGTGAGAAACATTCGTCTACAAAAACTGGAAATCTTTCAAACTTATAAAGGTAATAATAAACGACTGAATTTACAAATTAAAGGTCTGCACAAAAGTGCATCACGTCAGATTATCACAGATTGGAAATGAATTTAAATGTGCAGAGAAGAAACACAAAGAAAGTAGAATGAACAAAACACTCTCCAACCATTGGATCTTAGCGTCTTGGGGACCTCAGCTGGACAGTCTGTACTGCCATACACGATTCAAACCAGAAATCAGAGAGTTTATGAATAGATACCACCTTTTCGTCTGCTCATCCCAAATTTCATTCTCTATCAGACAGTGACTCGATACGCGTAACACGTGTTCTAGCCACCTCAACAGATAGTTCAACAATTTTATACGCTGACTTTCTATCCACTTCCCAGCATGTTACCTAACATTTTGTACCTAATCTTACTCTTACTGGCCATATTGTGCCACCTTAGAAGAGAAATTGAGCTCAGACACCTCTGGTAAAAAACACTCAGGTAATATCTTCACATCTTCCAATATCTACGGTTATGCCCCACAGCAGTTATCATTATTACTGGAAAGACAAACTTGGTACATTGTGGACATTAAGAGATGCGCCACACAAAATCGCATAGTTTGTGCGAGAGCAAGGATACTGCCCGGACTGAAGCAGGTGGTTGTCTTAAAGGCACCACCTTCACCCCGAGAATTTGGCTCGAAGTCTGATCTACAAGGCAATGGAGTGGGAGTCAAGAGTTACGTTCCCACGGCTCCCAATGACCAAAGTATGTCCATACACCATCCGGATTCTGGAGCCTATGTACACCTTGGGTTTCGAATCTGAGTTTTCCAGCTCCCCTAAGTATACGTGCATAACCACCATTCCGATTGCAAGCGTCGGATGTTCGGATTCGCCCTTTCACTTTTGCAAGGAACATCACCACGTAAAGACACTGAATAGTATTTACCTGGCAGACAGTATGAAATTATGGCTGCATGAGAGCATTTCAAGGGGAAAACAGAAGTCTAACCATTCTCAACGGTACCACGTAGTATTATGGAGGCGAGAGCAGTAGAGAGGAATTCGGGTACAATGATAATAATAATAATAAAATCAATTTCTTCATCAAAATTTTATTTACAAAAAGAAAATGAAAAGTATAAATTTATCTTGTATAACAAATTTTTAGCAGTTAGTCAGTAGGTGAGCGAGTGGAATTGGAAAATTCTAAATTTTATCTTGAAAAAAGTGGAAAAAACTGGCAGAATATAAATATATATATATATATTTAAAAGAGGTGCTTTAATAAATGTTCAATATAGAGTACGCTTAATTTGTTTTGTAGAGAAAATTCTCAAGGTTATCTGTTGACTTCATTATTTGAAAAACCCAGTCACCCAGAGCAGATATTTAATTCTCCAGGCTGAGTCACACTTATCGTATGAGGACTGATATGATACTACGAAAAATCGTTGGTCTAGGTTGTTGAAGTAGTAGTAGTAGTATTAGTAAGCGGAGTGGGACTCGAACTGTTGAGAAGGAGAAGAAGACAATAACGACAACTCCAACAGCGGCAACAAAGACAGTAAAAAAAGAGTGAAATTTCTGAATAATGAATGGATGAATTAAATAAATGAACAGACAAGCAATAAATATTAATAATTTATTGGGAACACAGCTAAGAGACATTAAGTCTTGAAAACAATTCACACGTTGGAATAGTAGATGAAAGATCATTATTATTATTATTATCATGTAACGAAAAACGTCTTGATCCAGCAGTATTTCTATCAACAGAATTACTCCACATAGAAGTATTAGAAAATATTGGTGGTTGTTGCGTAATCATATTGAGATTATTATTATTATTATGCGTAGAATTATGATATTTATGTCCAGTCGGATATAAACTATGTGCAGTGATATGCATACTTCGACTAGCATTCGACTTTCCATAGTAGTGTTGATGACGATGGTTATAAGTTCTAGCTGTTCGAAGGTGATATGAGCCCCGGTGACTACCACCACCACCACCACCCGCATTACCACTACTATTGATTGGAATTTCAATAGCACCAGGTATATTATCTTCTGCATCATCACCGTCATCATTAACTTCAAGGCCTATTTCAATGGAATTTTCACTGCCAACCAATGAACTAGTCTGTGAAGCTACATCCCAATCTTTATTTGACTATATATATAGAAAAATATAGAAAAGAAAAATCATTGATAAGTAAAACTACTTGTATTATATGCATATATACATATATATGAGTAGTTTAGAGAAATATTGTGAAGAAAATAATATGGCTGCATATGAAAGTCACACAAAGACATATCTGACTAACTAACTAACTAACAACAACAACAATAATAAATACCAGTCCCTATTGACCAGGAGAAATTTGAAGGGAATCACCTCCTTCAATGAAATCCACAACAGTTAGTCTAAGCCACGTAGGAAGATGTAGACTTCCTGGTTGGGGTCCTCGGGACGGTAAAAACCAATGGTTGGAAACAATAGGTGACATGGCTCAAAATCGTTCTCAGTGGCGCAGATGCATCCATTCCTTGTGACTTATGATTTCCAATTAAACTGTTTTGTTCTTCGTTATTACTATTCCTTTGTCTCACACCTCTGTTTACTGTCTATGTTATGCATTTCTCCTACTTTCTTCTCTTGCTTTGTGTGCTACATGAAGGGAGTGTGGCGACTTGAACTGCCGCACATATGTGCAAAGTTCTATGTCGAAAACCGACCGACCGACTTCCTTCATTTATCTATGCTGAACTGTTTCAACTAGAAGCAGCCTATATGGAGATTTGGAAGAGAGAATGAAATCAAGCCGGAAACCTGTTGCACTACTTCACCATAAATAATAAGATTCGGGTTTTCAACAATAATATCAAAAAAATATGTATATACAAACCTGATTGTCCATGAAGGCAATCTGTCCAGGATCTACAAGGAATACATCGGTTTCATTCATTTCATCAGGCGATTTAAACAGATCTTCTTGGATTATATCTATTTTCGTTGATTGAATCGCAAGGCGATAATGGGAACACACATAGAAGAAGAAGAAGAACCAAGCAAAAACAATAGAAAAAAGAAAGATAAACAGTTAGTGGTGGTATTAAAAAGCGTCAGAACTAAATATTACAAGAAACATTTCAGAAACTAGGCGACAAAGAAATTATACACATTGCATTTGTGTGAAGCAAAGTTAGGAGGGTCAGGGGAGGGTGGTTGAAATGGGTGAAGAATAATAACATTGTCCAGTCGCCTAAATCATAAAGGCAAAACTTTGACCAACAGACCCATTTATCATCGTAGAACTGTTCACAAAAGTGCATAAATCCAAGTGACCATTCTTTGGAAATTCACATATAAGAACTATAGCTAGACAGAAATTGGAGACATACAAACAATAATGAGGATTCAACGAGTCTAGAACATAACAAAGAGTGAATTCATCTAACCCAATGAGAACGATTTTTACCAAACGACAGTCTTTAGTTCTTAACATGAACCAACCAGACAGAATAAGAAACAGCGAGAGATATGAATAGACTGATTACTGAACAAAGAATATTACCTTCGATAACTTCTTCACATCAGGTTCTGCAGTTATATATTCATTCATAATAATGAAAGAATAAGGGTTATTGACAACATTAATGCTTGTGAAAATAACATCAAATCAATAATATCAAAATTAGCATTGAAGAATCCTTCTACGTCACCATCTATCGGGTACCAAATTAATCGCCAAAAGCATCCAGGTACTGGAGACTCCAAACAGCAGAGGCTATTGCGATTCGCTTAAAAAAACCGGTGCTCCATGTGCAGAAGAAATAGATCCAACCATTACAACTGCCCTGGCCTTCTGTCGAGTCTATCAATTCATGAATATTATTATATCATATTATTTCTCCAATTTGTCTGATATTCAAGTGTAGTGTTATGTTGATGCATATTATCACGCTCACAGATGCTGTTGAACTGTAATCTATTGATATTGATTGAGTCAGTGTTATTTTCACAAGCATTAATGTTGTCAATAACCCTTATTCTTTCATTATTATGGATGAATATATAACTGTAGAACCTGATGTGAAGAAGTTATCGAAAAGAATATTCTTTGTTCAGTGATCAGTCTTTTGAAATTGCTAATGATCACTTTCGATCAGTAAATATGAAAAAATTTAACTGTTTTTGATCACAGGAGTCTGCATTCTATCTCCTGTGTTAGATGGAATAATAGGTTGAATAATATTGAGTTTAAGCTTAGAGTGTTAGGGAAGGAAGAAAGGAGGGAAGTCGATCAGGTTTTGAAGCTGAATACACTGAGATGATAAGGATATGTTTCGCGCAAGCCAAGCCATCGGATTCTTCTATGGATAATGTTGGCTGACATAAAATTCGGTTGGAAAACGGTTAAGGGTGATCAGATCGAAACCTGACATCAGTCCATAAAGTATTTGACAGTCAGTTTGAACCAGTCATGAGGAGAGGTGTAAACTGACAGGTTGCGGTCCTCGGGATAACCTCTTTCTCTCTCATATTTTTCCATGTTACAATCCTTTTTTTCTCACGTACATTTCTGCTCAGTAAGGTCCTTTTGAATTTCTGTTTTCTATCTTTTCCCAACTTTTGTGTACTGTATATGGAGTGTGGAAAAATGAACTGCTGCACTCCTGTGATTTGTTGAAACCAGTCAGGTTCTTAACATATCGAGGAACATAGCTAAGTGACCTATACATCCCAACATAACTCAAACTAATAATCAAAGATCCGATGGACTAGTGTCATATTTCCATCTGACTACTCATAAATTCTTTTCAATCTGCTCATTGAAGAAAACGATGGTTTAGCATGCGTAACACGTCTACTAGCGATAACGGAGAGACAGAGAGAGAGAGTGAGTGAGTGGATACCTAAACCTAACATAAACTACATAAGTATGCATGAACTACGCAATAAAATCTGTTATAATATTTAAGAGTTAAAACTTCATTTTATAGAACCAAATACGAATTGTCTCTCTCGCCCTTTGGAAACTGTAAATACTGAGTGTTAGTGAAATGCTATCAAACAATTACCATTTGTAAGAATGAATTGATGTCTTCTTATGCATTCCGAGTAGAACACGGTTTCAAACTTTTATGTTTCAGTAGCGATAGGGTCGCTAGCCCCATACCTCATTTCCTCCCTTCTCTGGGCTTAACACCGGCTAGTTAACTAACCAGGCACGGTTTAGGAGAGCATCTGTGGATCGGGAACCAAACTGGGATCTCCCGCCTGTTGTTGTGCGAGCGTTTTACCACTGAAACACTGATGCACGAATTTACAACCGAATTGAATTAGAATCTATTCCTATAAGCATACAATCATGACTGACATTTCACCAAAATTACAAGGTCGCTTTACTAATGAACGCTGGTAAGTACGAAACCAGAGACTAGGGGACTACTTCCTGCTAATAAACCATACACATCTGTAATGCAAAACAGATTTTCTCATCAATGAGCCACATACTTATTTGTGTGAAGGCAGACTGACATATAGACAGAGTGACTGGGATGGACTCGAACACAGAGCCATAATTGCTAAAAATTGAATGCTTAAACTTATGATCATCATAAAAAAAATCAAATTTAATATGACATTTAAGTAGTACTTTAGGAAATAAAATGAATGATTATTATTATTATTCATCTCACCTAATATCTCGGTTTTATTTGTTGGTGTATCTGCAAGTACTGCATCGTTTAAATTATTTTCATTTTCATAGTTAAGGGATGATGAATCACATGTTCTAACATTTTCAGATATAAATGCACCGGTGTTCTTCTTGTCACATTCCACCCCAACAACAGTGGGAGAATGAGGTGAAGAAGGAGCGGGATGATCAGAAGGCATAGAGGCAATACGTTTACTACTGTTTTTATTACTATTATCATTATTCTCAACGTTGTCACCGTCTGTGTCACCACTGATTGTTTGATCATTGTACTTCAATGAATTCTCATCATGGAATTCCTCTTTATCCATCCCATTGTCTGTTTTCGTTTGATAATTAACAATAAATGGGAATTCAGAATCTTCAGTTGAGTCCAAATGGGAATTTAAGGCATCATGAAGTATGTTTAAATCTTCCTAGATTTTATAAGAGACAAAATGAAAAATAAATAGGAGAATATATATACATATATACAGTTTGTCTTATACAAGAATGACATTTGGGGACTGTGCAGTAGAGTTTAATTCTATTATAGAATAATTTTATTTGGTAAATGCACACAGTGATACCGTAGTGTTTACTAATAACGTTTGGAGCACAATTCATTTTTTTTCCTTCACGTTCCCCAGTGGAACATAGGGTTTCAAGCTAGCGGCTTGAAGTTTCTTTAGCAGTGTTTATTTTACGGGATGGGGTTGCTAGCCTCATGCCCAACCTTTCCTCTTCTCCAGCATTATTTCTTGCTAAGCGAGGTAAAGGAGTGCGCCGGCCGGGGATCGAACACAATCATATCAATGTGTGCTCATACAACTTTCAAACCTTGTTTATTTACTTCCATTATTTCTCATCCTTTGACTTTACTAGTGGTAACATTTCCCATATCTCTCGAATTGTCTTTGAATCATTTCTACTGCATTTGTTTGGTGTAAATTCAATGAAAAAATATATCTTTAATCAATCCTCTCTGTTTACACCCACCTATATTGCTTTTCAGAACTGTAGCTATGTCTCCTATCCTATTTTGTGGTTATGTGTTAGTGCATGCATTGAGATTGCGGAGGTTTTCTCTAAACTATTTGTCTTGTAACGCCAAAAAATCAAGGGAATGGATAACGGGATTTTTCGATAACTCGATACACAGATATAGACAAAATGCGTCTATTATATCATAGAATCACAATCTGCATATATCTTCGGTAATGTGCTGCTTTGTCTTCTGTATTGCTCTTCTTTGTCCTCCTTTTATGTTTCCCATGTTGTTTCTCAATCATCTTTTATTAAATCCATCTGTCTGTCATTCGATATTCTTGAGACTGACATGCATATTTATATCTGCATCTATGCACTACTAATAAATCTTGTCAGTAACATCCGCCACAATTTTCATGGAGTGATTCATTCTGCATTTAGTGAAATTCCGATAATCTAACTGACGTCAATCTACGGGTTTGACTCATGTGCGTGGGTTCGCAGTCATTGCAAAGTATTTTACAGGTTGAATGATTTTCTCTAACTGGGCAAAAAGGGAGCTAAAGTTTTAAAAGGTAATATAAGTAGGTGGGCGAAGGGGGGAGAGAGATTGATCACTGAATCTTTGTTCATCAAATCTAAACAACCAACATTTGTAGTAGGAATGACGCGACGCCAATACCAGAGATATAGAAAATATTACTATCCTCAAAATCAATGGATAAAAAAATAACGGAAGTATGTACACAGAATTTGATAGCGTTTACTTGAGCACCTTGATGCTGATTACTAGCAATAAATTATGTTCGAAACGTCGTTAGTGAGTAACATAGTGTCACTGTGTAATTTTTCCAAAATACTATTATTCCATGGATGAATAGAGCGTCGGTAGTTCAGCAGTAGAACGCTCGCCAGCCACACATGTGGTCCGGGGTTCAAACCTCGGATGACGCACTCCCAAACCTCGCTTGGCCGGTAGTAAGGCCAGTAAAGAGGGAGGGGTTAGGTGAAAGGCTAGAAACCCCACCCTATAAAAATAAAACCACCGCTACAGAGACTTCAAAGCTCTAGCTTGAAGCCCTATGTTCCCCTCGGAACGTGCACGAATACAAGAAAAAGAAGAAGAAAAACAAATAAGACCACTGAATTGTTGTTTATTCGCGTGACAATGCCTAACAGTGGAATCTAACCAGTGTGAACATATCCTATTTGAGACTCGTTAGTCGGATGAACTTACATCGGTAGCGACTGATACTCTCAATATGATCCACCACCCACTGAGGACGCAGGTACATCCAGCTGACAAGTCAGTCGCAAACCGGACGAAATGACTTCAGTTAGGAAACCATTAATAATCAGGGAGTACTGGTAGGTGTTTTGTCCTATTTCGGACCTCCAGCAGTACGTGCTCATGAGCTCAACGCAAAAAATTAGCAGAAGTTAGAATTCGTGGGTTACCCATTGGATTCCAAATGACTCAGTGACGGAATGGTCTACGGACTCACCTTGTAACTTGAAGGTCCTAGGTTAGATCTTCAGTGGTGGGGTCATGGATGCGCGTACTGATGCAGAGTTTCAAACTAAAAACAGAACAACTGTCTCGTACTCCCTGTTTTGAAACTTGAACTACATTAAAAATACTATAAAAACAAGAAGTAATGGACGGTTATTTTGTTGCAGTCTACGAAATATCAACGATAGGCATCGAAGTCACTATTCAAAGCCGATGGCAGGACTGCGCTTTAAGTTGTAAAGTAATGGTCAAGGTCGTGAAATTTCTGCCAATCAGCGATAACCGTCATACTGTTGAAATAGAAGTTATGAAAAAAAGACGGAGTATTGCCATTAAGAACTACAGATAACTAGAGTGTGTCAAATTCAGTTTACTCACATCAAAGAGAATGCAGTATCAAGTTTATTGAGGGTTATTCTGTTAGCTGATGATTTACTTCCAATGTCACGAAAACCATCAAGTCGATGAAAGAGGCAATGGACACAAAACTTCAAGCGAACAAAATGAAGACACCTAACCAACAACAACAATCGTCAATCACCATCAACGAGAGAAGTCTAAAGGAAGTCATCTTTTCCACTTTACCTAGGCAGAATCCTTTCAAATACAGGCGAACAGAATGGATGAGGATGTAAAAGACAGGAATGGAGAAACAAAACAAACATTCATTATCCTGAAATCAGTGTGTCCACTCAGAATAAGGAACCAGATTAGGATCTTCAACTGTACTGTCAAATGAGTCAGTGGTTCAGTTATGTTGTGCATTTACTTGGGTCGTTTCTATGTGAATGTACTTTCCTAGTGTTGTCGATGAAATAAATGGTTGGGAAAGTCAAACAGTAGTTGAAGTAACTCATTAAAATATTGGTTATTAAAGTTAAATATTTCCCTTCTTTCATTGAATCTCTCTCTCTCTCTTAGTTAAGAATGAATGTGATATGATCCCATAAATAGTTAAAAACTCCAGTTAGAAATATAAAACAAAAATAGAAGTTGAAACATTATTTAACATTATGCCTACCTCAATACACTGCCAATCACCATAGATGGAAATGAGTCGTTGTCTTTCTGATGCTGAAGTTATCTCCAATGTTGGTATGAAATGATGCGGTGTTTTAACATCATCACCATCCTCTTCTTTCTTATTTTTAACGCTTCTTTCACTATCAAATTCTAATAATTGTTGTTGTAATGGTTCAACTGGATGTGCACCAAAGCGTAGACCTCTTAATACAGTGACAGCTGAATGATAGTCTAGTGAATAGATAGTCATTAGATAAGCGGCAACAACAGCTACATTCGCTGACATACCAGAGTCACTGAAAATCAAATAAAGGAGGGAAAGAAATTGTTATTCAATGAAACTTTATGAGTCATTCACAGATTAATTCTTCTAGACTGTCGATGTATCAACTTATAATGCAAATGCTTTGTGATTAGCTTGATATTAATTTGATGGAATCAAGAATGCGCGTGTGACTCTGTTTTCTAGGACTCATCAACTGAGCGAAGTTAAACTTTACATATCCCAAAAGGATGGACGCACCAATGACCTTAGAACGAGCGACTCTGCTGAAAAGCCTATTTGGGTCCTTATCACAACTCTAACCTGCCCCTAGTCTAAACCTGACTTTATTCTTTCCCTAACCTAATCTACAAACTAACCAGATATCTTAATTAATGTCATAATTCTTTATTTAACACTTCTTTTTCATGAATTTGGTATTATTTGGCTGGTTTCACTACCATGCTCTGACTGAAAACGTCCCACAGTTATTGATGAGTTCGCACCTGTTCGCCATAAACTGAATGTACCTCTACCTGTACCCTAAACGGGTGGTTTAGATGACAGGAAACACATATGTGGTTATTCCACTACCAGACACTATCAAGTACATCAATTTTGATATATTTCTGTGCTTCTCAGAATAAAACCAAGTGACTGTAGACACAAATCTATACGAATTTGAAAACAGTTGGCTCCGTTTATAAATTTCTGCAAAACGCTAAGAAAACGAAATTCACCTGGATTGTGTAATATGTATTTGTGCAATACATTTTGATCAATCTGAGTCATAGAAATTTATGTCGAAAAAAGTAATCAAGCATTGAATGCTTAGACAATAGATATAAGTCAAGTTAAAAGGCAATATACAGAGGGGTGAAAATAACACTGTTGATCAACAAACCACATATCCTGGTATTAAAACAAAGAAGGTTCAATATGATGACAAACTGTTTCCGAATATATACAAAGGTGATTTAAACTTCCTAATCACAGTAGGCTTTCCACATAACACTTTATAAATAGGTTTAAAAAAGTGTATAAACATCAGCTTTATGCCATGTATTTCATAATGTTTCACGATGGAAAAGCTTGATCCTCTCTGCTTCGTTCTGAAATAGTTTTGTGCCTATCCCAGATTATCGTTGGGAAAACTGAGTGTTTTAGAGAAGAGTAAGAATATCATATTTGACCGTCGACACTTCATCAAGAGGCCTAAGAAAAACATTTGTACTAACTTTTTGGAAGAATTAGAGGAGTTTTCACAAAAGTGAATGGAATACGGTAAAGTTTAGGTATTATAGCCAAAGTCGATGTGTCAAAAGTTGACCTTCAATAACCAATCAAACTTAGGGTACGCTATGAAAGATCATTCTCAATCAAACTATGCCTACCTTTATGGATTTGACGAGGGTAGACAGAGTATTCTAATTACTCCCTAAGTGCTTTTTCTGCAAATATATTCTGTTGGGTAGGGTTATGGGTTTTAAGATTAAGGTTCAGGTTGGAATTAGGGTTAAAGTTGGGAGTAGATCAAAGAACAGTGTCAGAAATATCAAGCATCATTTGATTTCTCTGTAGACCATCTATGCAGTAACAGAGAGATATTCTTACAACACAAACGCGACAGCTGCATAGTGTAATATCACGTTTGCAGTGGTTTTTAGTGTATTTTCAACCATCATGTAGAATTTTTGTATCTGAATTCTGACTAGTTTTCCAAGGTCATTGCAACCAAGGCTAAAATAGTTTAACTATGCCTAGAATACTTCATATTTAGGGAATAAATTATTTCATTTTAATATAAAGCAATCAGTCCCGTTTATGAATTTCGACAACACAAGCCTGTAGTCCTGACATACACACGAAATCCGGTCATCGATAAAGGTGTACTCTGCAGCAGTTTGCCCCGTCATTCTTTATGAGAGATACGGTCATTAAAGATGCATCTTGACCACGGATGTTTACGTTCTACCTTGCGTATTAAGTAATATAATATGGCAGGTAATACTGAGGTTAAGCATAGAGTGCTAGATAAGGAGAGATTGTTAGGACACACTAACTGACTGACTGGTTTCAACATAGAACTTTGCACCGATGTGCAGCAGTTCGAGTCGCCACACTCCATATAGCACACAAAGCAAGAGAAGAAAGTAAAGTGGAATGCAAAATAGAGATAGTAAGCAGAGTTATGAGGCAAAAAGAATGTTAATATCGAAGAACAATATAGTTTTATTGGGTATTATAAGTCACAAGGAGTGCATGCATCTGCGCCATTGAGAACGATTTTGAGCCATATCACCAACTGTCTCCAGCCTTCATTGGTTTTTACCGTCCCGAGGACCCCAACCGGGAAATCTACACCTTCCTACGTGGCTTAAACTAACTGTTGTGGATTCCATTGACTGAAGCCCTGTTTTGGTCTGATCACCACTACCTCTTTTCCAGCCTGACCCTATATCAGCTAACATTGGCCGTCGAGGAAGGCGATGACTAGGTATACGTAACACATGTCCTAACCATTTCAGTCAATGTAGCTTCACAGTCTCGTCGATTGATTTCCCCTCCTTACCTAGCACTCGACGCCTAACCTCACTATTGCTCACCCTATTATACCACTTAACAAGGGAGACAGAACGCAGGCACCTATGATCAAAGACAGCTAGCCTTTTCATGTCCTCAACTTCCAATGGCCATGTCTCACAGCATAAAGAAGGACGGAGTGGACTGCTGAGCAGTATATACGCCCTTTGGTCGATAGCCGGATATCACGTCTACGCCAGAGACGGCGTAAACTTGCATATACGAACCGAGCCTTCTGTATTCGAGCTGAGATTTCGTCAGTGATCAACCCGTTGGGGCTGATGCAACTTCCCAAATAAGTGAAGTGGTCAATACGCTCCATCAACCACTTCACTACCTATTTCTAAGCTACGAGTCAATGTAGTCCAGTCCTGTAGCATCATCTTACATTTGGCGGGGACGAATCGCACGCCAAACGTTAGCAGATTGCAGCTTAAGGTATTCAGAAGACTGCATTTTGTTCGTGTTCTCACCTAGGAAACAGGACTACATTATCCACATATTCTTAATCAACGACATTATTCCCCGGTAACAAGTCAATCCCTGAGTCGCTGAACTCAGTTAGGGCTAAGTCCATTAGTACATCTATGATGAAATTGAATAGAAATGGGGATAGTGGGCATCCCTGACGGACAACACTAGTTGTCACCAGTTCAGGTGACAACTCGCCGTAAACTCTCACCTGGCTGCAAGAGTTCCAGTAGAGTGCCTTGATCAGTGCAATGTATTTTCTCGGCATTCCCTTCACAGCCAAACATCGTCAGAGTACCTCTCGGTCGAGAAAAATCAAATGCCGCCTTCAGGTCAAGAAATATAACGATTGTTGGACGCCGGTGAGAATGCTTATGTTCCAGAATCTGTCGAAGGGTGAAGATAGTTGGTTAGCACTCAGTTACCCCGGTACCGCGTTATGGGCCATCCATCAAAATGCTTAAACTCTTCTGGATTTCTTATTGTTTTAATCATACAGTTATATCATATGGTAACTTCATGAACTCGCGCACATATTTAATCAGTTTCCAACTAAACACTGTGAAATTCTTGAAGGAAAAGCTTACAGAATTGGTCCTCGATTCATATGAAAATATACACCAGATTATTACTTTACATGTAAATCCTGAATAAAGAGGATATATTTTGAAGCTAAATACACTGAAAATTTCTGTACTATATGTTCACACATATTGTATGAAATAAAGCATTATTAAATATTATTTAGCGTACAAAAACTATGCGTTACTGAATCTCAAAAATTCTGGCCAAAAAGAAATAGTAAGAATTTCATATTTTAAAAGAAACATTACTCAAGCACACATTTTGATTTCAAATGGTGACTTTTGTTTCATGAAGTGACATGAACTGGAAGAACTATTTACAACTGATGCAGACGAATGAACAATTTCGTCCTAGTTTGGTATTCTTCGGAGCGATTCTAAGCTGCATTCTCATGGTTTCAAAAATCTTTCTAACTAATGTTAGTTCGCGCCAAAATCGAACTGCTGAAATTACCACGAATCTCTACGACAATACCTACAATTATTTCAATAATAAAAATAATAACTACGACCATAGAAATCTCTACAAGGTTGAGTTATTTTTATAAGATACGAAGAATTTTAGAGAAATTTTATGAATAAAGTAATCGAATTACTTTAAAAATTAGACGAAGAAATAGAAAAATAAATAGAAAACCAGAGGTAGAAAAATCAAACGAATACAAGTGTTCATTAATGCAAAAATTTATAATAACATTATGTGAACATAATGATTTTCAAAACAACAAATTAACTTGACCCTTTCAAACATACGATTATGTTATTTTTACGTGTGTGTGTGTGTATGTGCGCTAGTTAGTTAGTTAGTTCACACATCGACTGGAGCAGAAATATTTTGTTTAAAAACCCTAGAATTCTGTTCTTTTTCACTTTCTCTTTCTTTAACATAAGATATATTATATTATCATATATATATATATATATCCTTATCTGAAGGTCATTCAACAAAGTGTAACTGTGAAATTGTAGCTCATTTGGTATAAACAAACAACTTTACGATTGTGTGTTTTGCTGCCACTATTGCAAACCATATGTGTAACTCATAGCCTGGTAACTACAAGGCCTGAATTTTGTTTTCATAGGTGTAAAATGGACTGGTCTAAAAACCGATTTTGTTTTCAGAAAGAATATGCTGTTAAGGCCTTGTTAGTCAAATCTTGATCATAAGTTTAATCACGAACCAAGATGACAGTTAGAGAAACACTGAAAACCAACAGGGAATAGTACTGAACACCACCGCTAGGAATGAAACTGAAATACACGAGTACTAACATCTCGAAGTTTATTTAATTAAAATTGAATGGAACTTCTGCCAACTCACGATGTAGCGCGACCACTAGGCAATGTCATTGGCTTAATGGTATACGAACTCGCCTTGTAACCGGAAGGTCCTCTG